AGTGGGCCCGGGCTGGGGATTCGAACCTGCTACCTTAGGTGTATGTGGCTGGCACCTTAGCCGCGTGAGCCACAGGCTCCAAGCCTACCCTTTTTTTAAATATAAAATTTCAAATACTACGGCAGGGGAGACTACACACAATAAAGTGTAAAACTATATCTCCCTCATCCCATGCCAAAGGAAAGGGACAGTGTTTCCTAATGTCTGTACCCTTCTATTCCCACAGACCTCAACCTCATGGGGCATCAGCATAACCCGTGATACTGTCTTAAAATACCAATTCCTGGGCCCCACCTCTGCATTTCTAGTTTCATGGGTCTAGGGCAAGGCCCAGCCACTGGTATTTTTTAATTTTGCAGCCACTATTCTTGATGTTTCCTGATGCATATACAAGCATCAATATATTTATCTTTAATCCAAATAAGATCACTCATACTGTTCTGCAAAGGTTACGTGTCTCTGTGTGACCTCTCTTGCCACACCCATTTCTGAGTAGCACATTATGGCTTGGTTGTTGCATACTTTTTAAAGGACTGAATAGGCACCATTGTGTAGCAGGATTTACTTAATCAATCTCCTACAGAGCGTCTGAATCCGAGTTTTCCAGGCTTATTTCCAACAATGCCACCATGAACACTGTTATGCAGGTTCCCTCAGTATTCCTGGGGGATTAATTCCACAACCCTCACCCTCTGCACAAATCTACAGATGCTCAAGTCCCTTATAATTAAGTACATTAACTATGAAATGCCCAATTCCAAATCAAAAGTTTATTATATCTCAAATAAGCAGCCTAAACTACTGACACCATGTTGCTGTCTTAACCGGCAGCTTGTGTAAGCCAGTGGTGAAGAAGCCTGTAGGGCAAGCGGCCATGAAATCACAAAAGGCGTTTTCCACAGCTTGTTGAGAATTGAATATTTTTCCTTGCAAGAAGTAACCCAAAGCCTGAAAGAAGTGATAGTCATCTGGTGCAGAAACTGGTAAAATACAGGGGATGACAGTTTCCAAGCCCAGATTCTATAGTCTGAGCACCACTGTTTGTGCGACATATGGTCGAGTGTTGTTTTGCAAGAGGACTGTCCTGTCTCTACTGATTGACCAATCTTTTTTTTTTTTTTTTGGCCTGGGCTGGGTTTGAACCTCCACCTCCAGTACATGGGGCCAGTGCCCTACTCACTGAGCCACAGCTGCCGCCCCTCCATTGACCAATCTTGACTGCTTAATCACAAGAATCCCCATCATTTCATTCAACTGGTTGCAGTAGACATCCACTGTAATCGACCGACCAGTTTTCATGACGCTATAATGGATAACAGCAGCGCTGGACCACCAAACAGAAACATTCTTTTTTTTTTGGGTGAATATCTGGTTTTGGACCACGTTCCAGCACTTCATCTTTATCCAACCATTGTGCTGTACACCTGTGATTGCTTCAAAAAGCATCCATTTTTCATCACATGTACATCATACGGTATACAAATGGTTGACTTTTAAGGTTCACTTCGAGACAATTTTCTCTTCTGATGCCCCTTTAATTCATGTGGAACCCATTTTTCCACCTTCTTTACCTTGCCTAATGTTTCCAATGGTCTGTTACTGCCAGAATAGTTAACGTCAGACCTTGCTGCTAATCCACATGTAGGTTGAAATTCATTTGCTTCCACTACAGCTCATCATTATCCAGCTTGGTCTCAGGTCACCCACATGGCTCATTTCAAGATTAAAATCACCGAATGAAACTTCTCAAACCATCATGTACTGTGCATTCATTAGCAGATCCTTCGTGGATATTGTGAGCTGTCTTGTGCTGCATTAGTTCCACAACAGAACTCATATTTGAAAATAATATGAATTTTTTACTTATCCATGGTTTCACAAAAATTGCTCTAAAAAAAATTTGAAAGATAATCACAAGCCAAAACATGCATTTGAAAGAATGAAGATATGCCTTCACAATAAAACAAGAAATGTTAGGCGCCTGTGGCTCAAAGGAGTAAGGCACTGGTCCCATATGCCAGAGGTGGCGGGTTCAAACCCAGCCCAGGCCAAAAACCGCCAAAAAAAGAAAAAGAAATGTCAAAGTGAAATATCAACTGTCAGAAACTTAGAACTTAAAGAAATCAGATATTTCATACTTAATAACCCAATATTAAGTGTATAGGGTTATACACTTAACACATCCTCCCATGTGCCACTAGTCCCTGGGCCTTGGACCAACACCACAAAACTTTATCTGTATTTACAGCTGTTCCCCATCACTGGCATCACCACTGGAGCTCTGCCTCTTGTCAGATCAGTGGTGGAGCTCTGCCTCTTGTCAGAT